AGGAGATGGAGGAGAAGAGGGAGGGAGGGACCCATTCAGATATCAGAGACTGGAACAGGGAATGAAGAGCAAAAGACGGTTTAAGAAAATTAAGCTGGTGAAAATCCTATTATGTCTTGTAGGCCAACACAAGGACTTTGAATGAGATGGGAGCAAAGGAGTAACAAAATCTGACTTACAGTTTACAGCATCACTCTCGCTGCTGTGCTCAAAATAGTCTGTCGAGAGACAAGGGAGGAAGTAGGAAGGTCAGTTAAGAGGCCAATGGTAGCTTAGACCAGGGTGAAAGTGGTGAAGACGGTGAGAGTCAGGTTCTGGATATATTTAAGGCAAAGCCAACAAAATCTATTGATTAAGTGGATGTGGGATGTGAGAGGAAGGGAGGAGTCAGGGATGACTCTAGAATGTTGGGGGCCTGGGCAACTGGAAGGATTAAATCACCATTAACTGTGATGGGAAAGTGTGGAAGGAGCAAGGGTGTGGATTCTATTTGGGGCATATTAATCTGAGAAGCCTTTTAGACATTAGATGTGTTATATAGGCAGCAAACTATATAAGGCTAGACAGGACGGGTTGAAATGATAAATGTGGGTGTCCCTAGCATATATAATAACAATACATAATTATATGTATAATCATACAGGATTTCCATGTATGACCACATGTAATTTGTAAGACTATATGTTTATTATCTGTCCCCCTAAACTGTAAGTTTCATGTGGCCAAGGACCAGGTCTGTTCACAGCCAGTAAGGTGCCTGGCACTCAGTAAATATTTACTGAGCAAATGGAGAAGTTGCCCAATTCCTCTCTCAAGAATAGCCACAGCAGCCCACACAATGAGATGCTGATTCATTGCCAAGCCCAACCAGCCCAAAACAGGGCCCTGGGTCTGTCCATCCCTAGCTTGAGATTCCAGAATGTAAGTGGATACGCCTGGCACACCAGAGTCAGATATTTGGGTTTCAGCCCTGCCACATTCTCAAAGGGTGGAGCTGGGCAAGAGATTGGCCTGTTCTACCACCTCTATTTCATCCTGGGGTGGCCAGGGGAAGGGCTGCCTTACTCACTCACTTCTTGGGCAGAGCTATTGATCCACCCAGGGTATATGTATGGGGTGGCAGGAGCCCCCCAAAGGAGTAAACCCCCAAGTATTCTCTGAAATATGCAAGGGCCACCCAGGATCTGAAGGGGAGAACATAGACCACTGGGTTTGCATTAAGAGTAACAGTTAACGGTGGTGGGCAGGAAGAGATTAACTGGAGAACAATATGCATTGCCCATGAAGACAGACAACAGCTTGGTGAAGGCCTGGATCAGGGTGGGAACGGGATTATGGAGGACAAGAGGGAAAAAGGAGGGACATCTGTAATACTCTCAATAATACAGTTTTTAAAAATGAATAACAGGTTTTTTTGTTTTTTAAATATATTTTTATTGATTTCAGAGAGGAAGGGAGAGGGAGAGAGATAGAAACATCAATGATAATGATAAGAATCACTGATCGGCTGCCTCCTACACACCCCCAACTGGGGATCGTGCCTGCAACTCAGGCATGTGCCCTTGACCGAAATCAAACCTGGGACCCTTCAGTCCACAATCCGACGCTCTAGCCACTGAGCCCAACCAGCTAGGGCTGAGTAACAGTTTTTAAAAAGTGACAATCACAAAACTTGATGAGATGAGAGGACCGCCTAATTCTTCCAGCTAAAGCAATACTGCCTGACCAGTGGGTGTCAGGTCTCTGCTTCACCTGTCAAGTGACTAGGAAGACAGAACTAAGGCCAAAGGGTGACAATGCATAAGATTTCAACTCAATGACTTTCAAGTTGGATAGTTCCCTTTGTGAAGATGATTACAATGGCTCTCTAATGATATAGTATAACCCTCCTCCCCTTTCTCCAATATTAAAAGTGTGACCCAGAGAGGACTGATGACTTGCCCACGGTCACCCAGTTACAGGCCCAAGACTACAGCTCATATGCTAGCTCTCTGTGAGGCTTTCTTCCATTACATCAGTGACCAAGGAAAGGTAAGCATTAGCGTTAGCATTACAGTAGGAGCTAGGGGAATTTTAAGCATTAGTGTTACAACATACAACTGTCCTTAGCAAAGGGTGAGCTGTAGATGTTATAGGAGTGCCATGTGCACACTGAGATTAAGGATTCCTTCCCTTATACCAAACTTGTCATGTTATAGTTCCCCTTGGCTTTGGATATTAATAAAGCTATTTATAGCTAGGACCCACAGAATTGCAAAAATTATACACTAGAAGGTAGAAAATGTAGAAATATACTTCAATAAAATGTTCACATGAAAAATTCAGATGGTAAGATGAAGTTGAGACAGCTTTCTAAAGTCAACAAATATTGAGTGCTTCCTTTGTATAAGTCACTGAGCTAAGTGTCGAGTATGTATGTGTGCCTGTGTGTATGGTTAAATGAATGAATGAGAAAGACAAACAGACACACACACACAAGGATAAGACAGAACCTAACTCTTCAAGGCTTGCAATGTAGTTGCTGACATAAGACTGTAAACATCAAAGAAATGACTAATAATATGGAGTAGACAATTGTTAAGTAAGTGACATGATGTATCTGAACGAGTTCTCAGAAGAAGCAATCAGATCTACTGAGGAGGGGGTGAAACTGTCAGGCAAGGTGCTTCTAGAAAAATATTGGGTTTGAGGTGGAACTTAAAGGGAAGAAAGGCTCTTAATAAGCAGTGGGGAATAGCAGGAGCAAACACTGGTGGCCTTATTGTCAGGGAAGAGAAAGAAATCACACCTTAAATGGAAGGATTGTTCTTGTAAACAAGGGGAGATACAAAATTTTTTCTGAACATAGAACTATATGGTTTGGAACAGGTTAATTTTAATAAACATCATCTGGGGGTTGCCCACCATGTACAGGCACTGGATGAATGACTGAAGATGAACTTGCCTTTGGTAGGGAACTAACTTCATCCTGAGAGATGAGTTGCATTTGAGGTGACAAGGCTGTGAAGTACAGTGGGGAGGGGCAGGTTTGTAAGACCTGCTGAAGGAAGAAACAGCAAGTCCAAGTGACTGGCTGGAAGGAAGAGGGCAGAAAGCAGAGAAAGTCAGCAGAGAGAGGTTTTCAAAGAATAAAGTTAGGCATCTGGAAGAATGGAAGAGCAAAGGGAAGGGGACTGAGGGAAGAGATGCAGAGCTTGGTTTTAGAGGTGTGGAATCTGAGGATAACTACATCAGAGTGTCCAGTGGGCATTTAGAGATATTAGTCTAATGTTCACGAGGAAATAGTTGAAAATACAGCATATGGGTATTCCCAATGGACAAAGGTTTGTGATACTGAATAACATTTCTCTAAGGAGAGTAATGAGTGCTTAAAAGGAAATGTGCTACTGATCCATAGTTGTGTCCACGCCTATCCGTCTTGTGAGCTTTTTTCAT